TATGTGTGTATGTGTGTGTACACAGGTGCACATGCCTTTGGAGACCAAATGTTAAGGTCACTGAGTGTCTTTCTCTATTGTTCATTACAAACCTGGTCTCTCACTGCTTCTACTGGGATTTTAGTCACCTGCTGGCATGCCTGGCTTTTTATAAGGGTGCTTGAGGTTTAAACTTAGGTCCTCATGCTTGTGCCCCAAGTGTTTACTGACTGAGGCCTCTCCTTGCCCCTAGTGTACACAAATCTTTGTTTGTTATTCATACCTCAATAGATATGGAAGAAAGGCATACATAGATGAAGGGGGAGCTCATGCTCACAGATCTGACAACCTGTAGCAACCTGAGCTGTCCTGCCTGCCAGCTCCCAAATAACGACACAGAGGCTTCTTATTAATTGTGAAAGCTCAGCCTTAGCTTAGGCTTGTTTCTAACTCACTCTTATAACTTAAAATTAACCTATTTCTAGCAATCTACATGTTGTTGTGTGACTCATGGCTTTTTGCCTCTCCTCCTACATGTCCTCTTCCTCTGCATCTGATTGGTGACTCCACCTTTCTCCCCCACCCCAGTCCTCTCTGTCCGGAGAAGTCCTGCCTAACCTTTTCCTGCCTAGCCACTGGCCATTCATCTCTTTATTAAACCATCACAGTGACACAGTGTAAATCTTCACACAGTGTAAAGACTATTCTGCAATAACAACCATGTGTTCAGATGCCATAAAATCTTCATGACAGTGGGAAAGGCAAAGATTTCATAAGTAGCATATTAAATTACTGAACATTGTTATAGTTAATATTTACTGTAGATTCAGCTGAACTGAAAGATGTACAGAAGGTTAGCAAAGGGAATTCCTGGGTGTGTCTGTGAGGGGATTTCTGGAGAAGGTGAACCAAGAGGTCAGCACTTACCTTGAATGTGGGTGACGCTGTCCCGTGGATGGAAGTGGAGGAAGGCTGAAGTCTGCCAGTGCAGGCACTTTTCCTATTAGCTGCATAGCCCTCTTAAGATGGGAACTTTGCATCATTGTGCCTTCTACAGTATGGGTCTCCCACAGGCTTAGAAACAACAACCAGCCATCTACAACTGAGAGTCAAGAAGAAATCCTTCCTGCCTTAAGTTGTTTGCCTTGGGTATTTGTCAAACTAACACAATCATAAAAATTGAAAAAGTCGACCACTAAAAATAAGAATTGCTGTCTATCAAAGAAAAAGAGTCATGTATTGTGAGAAGCCATTAAAAATCGTGCATTACTAAAAGGGCCTGCAAGTGATTTTGTAAACACAGTCTAGAAATGAATAAGAAAAAGATAGATCGTTCAAAGAAAACTGAAAACACTTGTAGAGGCAGTTTCCAAAGAACTCTGGGTGGCCAGTAAGCACAGGAAAAGATGCCCCACCTTCATTACTCATCAGGAAAACGCAAATTATCCTGAGGGTCTAACATGCAGCAACCAGAATGACTAAGAAACAAAACACAGAGCCGGGCGTTGGTGGCGCACGCCTTTAATCCCAGCACTCGGGAGGCAGAGGCAGGTGGATCTCTGTGAGTTCCAGGCCAGCCTGGTCTACCGAGCGAGTGGCAGGACAACCTCCAAAGCAATACAGAGAAACCCTATCTCGAGAAAAAAAAAAAAAAAAAAAAAAAAAAAAAAAAAAAAAAAAAAGAAAGAAAGAAAGAAAGAAAGAAAACACACTCTGGACCAAGCACTGCTACAGAGGACATTGTGTGGAGATCATGTTAGATGTTCAGTGGTATACCTGTGTTTTCACTGTCTTGAGCAGTGCAGCACATGTGGACTAGTACTTGACCCCCAAGGTAAATGTAAATTGTGCATGTTTATCAAAGGCACAGAGGAAAAACATTCACGGTGATACTATATGCAGTTACCACAAGGCAGAAAGAATCCAAATGTTCAACCACAGGCAGCTTAATAAAGAAGTTCTATCTGTTCACTGCAACTAGAAAGAACAAGATACTGTTTGATGCAACAACTTGGATAAATCACATACTATTTATTGTGCAAAGGAGGCTAGGCACAAAAACTATATATTATTACAGATCGATGTGAGTCACCATGTGGTTGCTGGGAATTGAACTCAGGACCTACTGGAAGAGCAGCCAGTGCTCCCAACTCCTGAGCCATCTCTCCAGCCCTAACAAAGACTATATATTATTGAATCCCTTAAATACCAAATGAAAGCAAAATGAATCTATGGTAGCCTGTGAGAGTCATAGAGGCTGGATGGCCACCAGGGAGGGTAATGCAAAACTGTCCTTAACCTGAGTTGCAGTTACAAATGTTTGTTGTTTTCCTGACAATGCATTGAATTTTACATATTATAGTCAACATGCCTTTTATGTAAATATGAAGCTTTATGCTTAAAAATGAAAGGTACCACCCTGGGGAGATGAAAGAGTCATGGAAATTGTTTTCTTCTCTGCTTTACCATCACAAGCTTGGGAGACTGAAACAAGGGGAGTTTGGTGACCATGTAGACTCATAAATAAGTTGTGAAACCTCTTCTTGACCTTGGAAATACAATACTGGTTTGAGCTCCTTGGCATGGCCTGTTGAGCAGAGCAACTCACAAAACTGCCTTGTAGGTGACAGTTAGCTTTGAAGAAGGAAAACATATTAATAACACTTCCGTCATGGCTGCTAAACAGTAGCTCATCTTCCTCCTTAAGGTTCACTTCATAAGTCTCTAGGTGACGGTCTTACTGAGCTTCCATTTTAATCCTGTTTATTCTCTCTTATTCCACAATTGGCACCTTCTAAGGGTAAAGCAGCCCTGTGATGCTTAGTAGGTATACAAGAGGGGCTCATGATTAATTACATAAATTGGATTAAATGACAAGCCTTAGGAAAATGGGTAGACAGCCCCAGCTGGATTGGCCCTCGATTCCACCCTCTGTGAGTGGGGTAGAAAACCAACATATCAACCCAAACCTACTATAATGCCACAGTTCCCACAAATCCATCTTAGTGCTAATTCCCATCAAAATCCACCCTGGATTCTCACCAAACCCAGGATTTGCCTAGGCCTCTTTTCTTTGGCTTGCAAGATCCCAGACTTGATTTGCCAGATTTGTGCTTAGATAGCCAAATTGGCTTAGGACAGTCCATTAAGAAGGTTTTAGAACACTAAAGATGGTCTGGAAAACATAACCTCTTGTTTTTATGTAAATTGTATCTATTATACCCAAAGAAGATGAGGTGGACCCGGACTTAGAATCTGAGGGTCTGAACCTGGATGGTGCTAGAGGCTCCTGCCTGCTTACCACGGGACTATTGTTAGGATTCATTCATGCCTGTATTCATCCAGCTTTCAACATGAGAATGTTTTCAAAAGTACTTTAGGTGTAGGTTATGCTGTTGACTCTGAGGATGAAAACTATTGGCTTGCAGTCAGTGGCGAGAAAGATGCAAGGGCAAATAAATATCCACTGTATTTCACGGCCTTTTCTCACCCGCGTTCTAGGCAGACTTCTCAGATAGTTTTCTTTGTTTAGCTTTTTGTTGTTGTTGCTGGTTTTGTTTTTGAGCAGAGTCTCATGCAGTCTAGGCTATCCTCAAATTCACTGTGTGCTGAAGGCTGACCTTAAAGTTAGATCTCTTCCCACCTCTGCCTCTGGAATGCTGGCATTCCAGGAATAACCATGATACCTGGTTTATAGGGTACTGGGAATCAAATTCGGGGCTTCATGCATGGTAGATCACCATTTTACCAACTGAGTCATGTGTAGTCACTGGATATTTTTCATAATCTCCTTCCCCAGAACATGAACATTTTTAAAGGGATTTCATCTTTTTTTCCATTCATTTATTTAGCTCATAAATAAAGTCATGCACAATTATGATACAGAATACAGTATGTTCACAATGGCATGGCTAAAGTAAACCAATTAACATGTTATTTCACACATATTCATCATTTTTGTTTTGAGAACACTTAAAGTATACTATCTCACAACTTTTAAAATAGAGCATATTGTTATCAACCATATTTATCATGCTCTCAGTAGACCTCAAGACTTCACAGAGTCCGTGCCTCTTGTCCAACTGCAGTTTTATAGCCTTAAACCAATCGTTTCCCCATTGTTAAAAGACCCACATTGAAGCCTAATAGCCACAATTCTGCTCTCTGTTCCCATAAGTTCATCATTTCTAGGTTACACATAAAATTGAAATTCTATGACATTTGAATCTTCCAGTGTGTCACTTATTTTTTTTTTGGCAAGCATATAACTTTATTACTTACTAAAGATGAAATCAAATTTGCATGCACAGGTGAGCACTCACTGAAACACCTTGGATTCATCACATATTTGAGTTTCAATTAGCATATATATGTATATATATTTATATTTATATTTATATAAAAAGAGAAATAATGGCAATATGTTATGCATCAATAGCAGCAACAGCTTTTCCAGGTTCTGCAGTCATTTGAACAAAACTGTAGAGACATCCAGCACACTCCATTTAAAACAAACAAACAAAAAACAAAACAACAACAACAACAAAAAAGTAAAAAACAAAATCCCAGAAAACAGCACAGTTCTGTTATTTCTTTAATTATGCATATGTGTCTATGCCTGTGCATAGGGGTGCACATGTGAGCACGCTGTGGTGGCTAGGAGCTTTAGATCCTCTTGGAGCTGGGGTTATAGGCAAGTGTGAACTATCTGAGTGTGTGTGTGTGTGCTGGTCATCAGAAGGAGCAGCAAGTGCTCTTAACTGTTGAGCCTTCTCCGCAGCCTGCCATCCATGAAATTCTAATAATAAAGACACCTTGTTTATGTACTGTATGCACCTCTGTATTTTATAAGAAAAATAATAGAAGTCCCTCCTGCCCTTGCCCAAAGCCATTTTTGGCTCCCTTGGGGGAGCTATCCTTCATTGAGAACGAGCAAATAAATCAAAACAGAACAGGGCATTGAGGACCCTAGTGAGCCCAGTTTGTCTCAGCATGGGCACAGGAAAGCAGCTGTGATAGGGAAGGGAAGAAGGATGCAGGAGAAAAGCAGGGTGCTGAGGTCACTAAGGAGGAATCAGAACTGCCAGAGCTACAGGCAGAGGCCAAAGGGAAGCATGCCTGAACTGGGGTGTGTGTGCAAGGAGGGGCTGAACAATCACAGGTGGCTTTGGGTGCTAAACTGAAGAGAATAGACTGAACCTTAAAGACATCCAGGGAACCTGAAAGTCTGAAGGAGGCTGAGTCGCTCAAATGGATACATTTTTTAGTTCATTCAGGCTGCTGTGTGAATGGACAGGCAGCTGGCCAGAGCCCTAGAGATCCGTGACTTGACTGAGGATGACAGAAGATGCAGAGTTTGAAATAGGATTGGGGAAAATGGTCCATGTGCCAGCACCTGGTGTGCTGGAGGTAACTGATAATCAGGTTTCTCACTAAGGTTTGGGCAGTGGTGACATTTGGCAGCTTGGCAGTGCAGAAGCCTCCCAGAGGCCGCAGAGCCCCATTTACTTAAAGGTCTCAGGGGCCTGAGTTTTGCTACTTTTTAAATCCGTGTTTTTCTATGAGGTTAAACTGAACAGAGCAAAGGAGGCCAGAAAGCTCCAGATGACCACATGGGCTGCTCTGAGCCGTGTCCTCACCCTAATGGGACTGACTCTACAAATGATGGAGGAAAACAGCATGGATGTTTTCAGCCAATTCGGGTCTTACTTGTGAGCTTCAAACATTTTCTTGCCTTTGTCCCCGCCAAATGGGGACATGCAGGCATCAGTGGCTATGCTTGTCTCTTCTACCTAGCTCTGTCCCCTTCTAGGAAGTGCCCCATCTGTCACCAATATCCTGGATGGAAGACCACACTCTCCTCTTCTTAGTTCACCACTTAGGGGTGACCTGGCACCAAGACATTCACTCCCTATGTGCTTTTATACTTACGAGAGGACTCAATAGAGCAGCAGCCTGTACCAGGCAGGGCACAGGGTCAAATGTACACATGAATGGTTTTTTTTTTTTTTCTAGGAAGTGCCCAATGGGGTCAGTGGTCTTTTTGCAAAAGGAGAGGCTGTCTGCCAGTCCTGAACGGAGGACGAATGAAGGAAGTGAAGCTCACAGGGTGGCTGCTGGTGGTGACATTTCCTCTCCACTTTCTGCTGGCAGTGGCTATTCACAAAGGAGTCTGCCCACTGCCTGGGATTCTGTGATATATGCCAACACCTTCCCCTTTACTTAACTCGGAGCACTCAGCACCTTTGATGTAAGGGCGAATGCCTTTTTATTTTTAATCTGAACTGAACCTTTCCACAGGTGCTGGCTACCCCAGAGCTCACCATAGCATTTTCCTCTCAAGCACCCAGGGCTCCACAATGATGGCAGGCACCAAGATCTGAAGAAGACTCCCTGTAGCATCTCATTTGCACTTCATCCTCCGTGGCTTCCCTAGCTTCAGCTAGCTTACA